CGAGAGGCCAAATAGGAATCACAACCGCCAGTCTCGACCAAATCGGTGAAGCAGGAAACAGAAGATGACGAGGAAGATTTCCTGACCCCTAGAACTTTCATCGTCCCCGAAGAATCTGACACCACCAAATCAACAGTCGAAGAGCTGGAACAAGTTATATTGATCGAACATCTGCCAGAGAGAAATGTATACATGGGAACGAGATTGACCCCCGAACTCAGGAAAAAACTTATTCAATTTCTTGTTGATAACATAGATTGCTTTGCTTAGTCTCATTTAGACATGACATGAATCCAGCCGTCGATAACAACGCACAGGCTAAGCTTGGACCCTAGGTTCAGACCGGTGAAGCAAAAAAGAAGACCTCAGTCCGAGTTAAAACACGCATTCATGAAGGACGAGGTAAGTAAACGTTTCAAAATAGGGTCGATTCGGGAAGTAAAATATCCCGAATGGTTAGCCAATGTAGTTGTAGTCCCTAAAAAAGGGAACAAACTTAGAATGTGTGTAGACTATAAAGATCTAAACAAAGTATGCCCCAAAGATTCTTTTCCATTGCCTAACATCGATCGCATGATCGATGCCACAGCCGGCCATGAGATCCTTACTTTTCTCGATGCCTATTCTGGGTACAATCAAATTCGAATGAACCCGGATGACCAATAAAAGATTTCATTTGTCACCAAGTATGGAACATATTGTTATAATGTAATGCCCTTCGGGCTAAAAAATACAGTAGCTACTTACCAATGCCTAGTGAATAAAATGTTCGAAAAATAAATAGGTGAGTCAATGGAAGTTTACATTGATGACATGCTAGTTAAGTCCCTATGCGCAGAGGACTATTTAACTCACTTGCAGGAAACATTTGAGATTTTAAGAAAATACAACATGAAGCTCAACCCCGAGAAATGTGCTTTCGGGGTTGGTTCGGGCAAATTCCTTGGCTTCATGGTATCAAATCAGAGAATCGAAATCAACTTCGATCAAATCAAGGCCATCGAAGACATCAACATCGTGGATAGTGTAAAAGCAGTGCAGAAGCTAACCAGACGGATAAATGCCTTAGGCCGATTCATTTCGAGGTCGTCGGATCGAAGTCACAGATTCTTCTCTCTACTAAAAAAGAATAACGATTTCGCCAGAACCCCGGAATGCCAACAAGCATTAGAACAATTGAAACGATACCTGTCGAGCCTACCACTACTTCAAACTCCAAAGACAGATGACAAACTTTACTTATACTTGGCCGTGTCAGAAATCGCGGTAAGTGGCGTCCTAATTCGAGAAGAGCAAGGTACACAATTTCCTGTTTATTATGTAAGTCGGACCTTAAGAGAAGCGGAGACTAGATATCCACACTTAGAGAAATTGGCACTTGCACTAATAAGCGCTTCTAGGAAATTAAGACCATACTTTGAATGTCACCCCATATGCGTGTTGACAACTTACCCACTTTGTAATATTTTACATAATCCCGAACTATTGGGCCGATAGACCAAATGCGTCGTTGAACTCGGCGGGTAAGATATCAAATATCAACCCCGTACGGCCATCAAGTCTCAAATTTTAGCGGACTTCGTGGCCAATTTCACGCAAACCCTCATACCCGAAGTTGAGAAAGAACTCTTGTTAAAATCAGGTACATCATCGTGTAGTACCAGACACGAGATAGATCTTCCAAAGAACAAGGCCTTTTTCGAATAAGCCCGGGGGTTTGGACCCTCTTCACAGGTGGTGCTTCAAATGTGAAGGGGTCCGGGCTTGGCATCGTTTTGAAACCCCCCACGGGTGGCATGACTAGGACATCTATCAAAACTTCTAGGTTAACTAACAATGAGGCCGAGTACGAGGCCATGATTGCAGGTCTCGAGCTAGCCAAAAGCCTAGGAGCAGAAGTCATCGAAGCCAAATGTGACTCTTTACTGGTAGTGAACCAAGTAAACAAAACCTTCGAAGTTCGAGAAGATAGAATGCAAAGGTTTTTGGACAAATTGCAGGTAACTTTGCACCATTTTAAGGAATGGACTTTACAACATGTGCCTCGAGAACAAAACAGTGAGGCCGATGCACTCGCAAATTTGGGGTCATCAGTCGAGGAAGATGAGATCGACTTAGGGACTATCGTTCAACTCTCGGGGTCCGCAATCGAGGAGGGGCATGCCGAGATAAATTCCACAAGCTTAACCTGGGATTGGAGAAATAAGTATATTGAATATTTGGGAAACGGAAAACTCCCATCGAACCCTAAAGAATCAAGGGCCCTACGAACCAAAGCTGCTCGATTCACGTTGGCTGAAGATGGAACATTGTACAGAAGGACGTTCGATGGACCATTGGCAGTATGCTTGGGACCAGGAGACACCAATTATATTTTACGAGAGGTCCATGAAGGCACTTGTGGGAACCACTCCGGCGCCAAACCACTAATTCATAAAATCATCAGAGCAGGATATTACTGGGATAGCATGGAAAAAGACACTAAGGAGTTTGTTCGAAGATGTGATAAATGTCAAAGATTTGCACTGATGATCCATCAACCCGGAGAACAACTTCATTAAGTTCTATCCCCATGGCCATTTATGAAATGGGGCATGAATATCGTCGGCCCTCTACCATCGGCCCCAGGTAAAGCTAAGTTCATTTTATTTATGACTGATTATTTCTCTAAATGGGTTGAAGCACATGCGTTCGAGAAAATAAGAGAAAAATAGGTTATAGATTTCATCTGGGATCACATCGTGTGTCGATTTGGGATACCCGCAGAAATAGCATGCGACAATGGTAAGCAATTTATCGGCAGTAAAGTAACAAAATTTCTCGAAGACCATAAAATAAACGAACAAGGCTATCATCCAAAACCTGAAGAAAAGGTTGAACAAAGCCAAAGGGAAATGGAGAGAAATTCTGCCCGAAGTCCTCTGGGCATATCGAACAACATCGAAGTCCAAAACAGCAGCGACTCCATTTTCCTTAGTGTATAGTTCTGAAGCCTTAATTCCAGTCGAAGTCGGAGAACCCAACGCAAGGTTTCGACATACATCAGTGGAATCAAACCATGAGGCAATGAATACTAGCTTCGAATTATTAGATGAAAAACGAGAAGCGACACTTGTTCGAATGGCTGCACAAAAGCAATGAATCGAAAGGTACTACAATAGAAGAACCAACCTCCGCCACTTCAAGATCGGGAACTTAGTCCTAAGGAAGGTCACCATCAATACTCGAGATCCTAATGAAGGGAAGCTCGACCCAAATTAGGAAGGACCCTATTAAGTCCTCGATATAGTCGGAAAGGGGTCTTATAAACTCGGAACGATGGATGGCAAACCATTATCGAACAACTGGAACATATTACTTCTCAAACGATATTATTGTTAAGGTATGATTCTCTCTTTCCTTTCGTCCATATATACATATTTGACAGTAACTCATTGCAGGAATTCAACCACAGACGTTGAGACCTCAGGTTTTAAAGTACGCGTTGCACTCGTTTTTCTCTTAGATCGACTTTTATCCCAGATAGGTTTTTCCGGCGAGGTTTTTAACGAGGCAACAACCATGTGCTACCTGAGGGCAGTTCAATAGTATCCGAGGCTTCTTTTCGATCAACCTCAAATACTGGAAGGCTTTACCCATCAAGTAAATCGAGTTCGGTACAAAATAGTTTTTTATATATCAAATTAATATCAAGAAGGTTCTCGATAGAGAAAAAGTGTAAGGGCCAAATGGTCAAAACAAACCATGGCCGCATAGTTTCTCTCGAGCACGAGCACTTATATAACGACTTATAAAGGGAAACTTCGTCTTTACCGATACCTCATATTTTGAAACATTCGTTCTACTTCATGATTCAAACAAGCCTACGGGCTATCTTACTTCGAGTTCGAGCAATCACTCACTCGACCATCAAGCCTACGGGCTATCTTACTTCGAGTTCGAGCAATCACTCACTCGACCATCAAATCTACGGGCTATCTTACTTTGAGTTCGAGCAATCACTCGACCATCAAGCCTACGGTCTATCTTACTTCGAGTTCGAGCAATCACTCACTCGACCATCAAGCCTACGGGCTATCTTACCTCGAGTTTGAGCAATCACTCGACCATTAAACCTACGGGCTATCTTACTTCGAGTTCGAACAATCACTCAAACATTAAGCCTACGGGCTATCTTACCTCGAGTTCTAGCAATCACTCGACCATTAAGCCTACGGGCTATCTTACTTCGAGTTTGAGCTATCACTCGACCATTAAGACTACGGGCTATCTTACCTCGAGTTCGAGCAATAACTCGACCATTAAGCCTACGGGCTATCTTACTTCGAGTTCGAGCAATCACTCGACCATAAGCCTACGAACTATCTTACTTCAAGTTGGAGCAATCACTCGACCATTAAACCTATGGGCTATCTTACTTCGAGTTGGAGCAATCACTCGACCATTAAACCTACGGGCTATCTTACTTCGAGTTCGAGCAGTCACTCGACCATTAAGCCTACGGGCTATCTTACTTCGAGTTCGAGTAGTCACTCAACCATTAAGCCTACGGGCTATCTTACTTCTAGTTCGAGCAATCACTCGACCATTAAGCCTACGGGTTATCTTACCTCGAGTTCGAGCAATAACTCGACCATTAAGCCTACGGGCTATCTTACTTCGAGTTCGAGCAATCACTTACTTGACCATTAAGCCTCCGGGCTATCTTTACTTGAAGTTATAGCAAACGTTCACTAAACTATAATATCCTAAGGGCCACTCGTACTTCGAGTTCAAGCAAATACTTACTCAGTTATAAAGGTTACAAAAACCGAATTCAATCAAAATTGCCTAAAGCCTCAAACTTATAAACATTTTTATAAGGCACAAGTAAACAAAATCTTCACTAGGCAGAAGAATGAAAACAGAGACAAGCTGGGAAAAACAAAGACCTTTATATACACGATGATATTTACAAAACGGCCGATCAGGGCCTTACACAAAAAAAATCAAAAAAGAACCTAGTTATCTACGGGAGCAGTCTTTTCTCCATCGGGCTCTTCCCCACTCTGAGACCCACTCTTGCTCCCGTCATCGTCATCATTGCCATCATCGTCATCATCGTCATCATCATCGGAGGCCAAGGCCTCATCTTCAGCTTCAAGCTCTCTTGCCTTTGTTATCTCTTCAGAAAGATCGAAGCCCCGAGCATGGATCTCCTCGAGGGTTTCCCTATGAGATTGGCATTTGGCAAATTCGGCAATCTAAGAAGTGCTCGAGTTCGAGCAGTATCGGCAACCTCTCTCACATGTGACTGAGCCGCTTCGGCATCAGCCCGATAAACAGCCACAAATACATCTGCATCGGCCTTTGTTTTTTCAGCCTTGGCAAGTTTAGAGGCATACCGAGCCTTGAGCTCCTCCGTTTTCCTTGCTTGAATCAAGCCTTTCTCCTTCAATCCTTGAAGTTGACTTTCAGCCAATGACAATTGGGCTCGAGCAGCCTCTTTCTCTGCAGCAAAGCGGTCCATATTTCCTTTGTATTTCAAAGACTGCGCCTTTATCACATCGACCTCATCACAGAGTTTCCCGATCAACTCAAGATTCTGCTACTGCTGTGGGACCGAAAGATTAGTCATTGTTCCAGTATCGAGCCCATAGGCTTTTAATAGTATCATTATCTTCTCGGACAAATGGGCCTGATCTTGGTGAGCTTTAGTCAACTCAGCTCAGAGGTCCTTGATTTCCTCCCCCTTTGCCCTAAGAGGAGTTTAAGGGCATTCCTCTCTTCCGTAACCCGATGAAGGTCGACCTCGTATCGACGCAGCTCAGCTTGAGATCAAGAACATACTTCTCGATGAGCTGCCACAGCCTACGAGGGAAGAAGGAACGAAGTGAGAAAAGTAAAACAGACATAAGAGATAATACCAACAAAAATAATTCAAGACTTACCTGATTCAAAGCCTGCTGCACTTCATGAAAAAGATCTGATGCATCACTACTGCCAGCAGCATCTTCGACACCAGTAAATAGAACACAAAAAGTATGATCTCCCTCATGAGGCCTATCTAGATCGAGGCCCCCCTAAGCTTTGGCTTCCCGAATCACCCCTTCAGAAAAAGTAGGAAAGGTGGGCGAATCTTCGATTGCTACAGCCCTAAGTAAGTAACTTGGGGCGTTCTCTTCATTTCGAAGAGATTCGGGGACAAGACCTTCAGATATATTCCACATTTGTTGGCTTCGATGGGAAACATTCTCGATCCCCAACGCCTCAGAGACTCTGCCCGAATCTTTCTCCGATATATCCTCAGTTTGAGGCGGAGCCGTATAAACCACCATCGATCCAGCTGCCTATGGAGCATCGGTTGTTTTCTTCGCTCGGGCCACCAGTACGAACTCCTCACCTTCTTCTTCCTCATCTTCATCTCTTAGGCGCTGAACCGATTCTAAGGTCAAAGGGATGGTATTCTTCTTCGACTTACGAGTCGATCCTTGCCTTCAATTTTTGATTTTCGGAAGTAGAGGCCCTTTTTCTCTTATTCCCCTTCTCCGGTTTGGAAACCGTGACCGAGGTCTCTTCTTCGTTGGGCAGGGGCCTCAAAACCACATCTCTGCACAGGCCTACACACAAGAAAATTGTTGAGTATAAGGAAAATATTTCGTTCGAACTCTCAAAGACATGAGAAATTAACTTACCATGATTTTTTTTCTCCCATCATCCCTTTGCCAGATCACGCCATGAACGTTCGGCGTATGAGGAGTTCGAAGCTAGGGCCTGTACCCAGCTCTTAAGGTCGGGAACGACACCGAGCATCCAAGGAACCGTTGCATCACAAAAGATATATCGGCAAAAGAAGAAACAAAGAGACAAGGTGATAGGGAATAAAACAGTACAATTACACTCAAGATTCATATTTCATTCTTCGGGAAATGGCATCTTTTCGGTTGGGATCAGCTCCAAAGTCTTCACTCGAACGAACCTGCTCATCCAACCTTGATCCTTGTTCTCGTATATGCTCGAGAACAATATCTTGGTAGCCCGACGTTGCAATTTTATTAATCCGCCTCGAAAGAGGTGGGGACTATACAATCTAATAAGATAATCGAGGGTGAAAGGCATCATCTAAAATATCAATTGTGCAAGGCAACATTTATGGTTCACGTGCCTGCGAGCACTTATGCAAAGGGGCACCAACATATACAGATTTTCGAAGATTTGGAGCCTGGATTTCCATTTACTAGTCCTTCACACTTCAATAGCTCCAATGTCTCTAGATTTACTAGGCCGATTCCCGTGCAATTACTTATATTTGGATCCCTTATAAACGAAAACGTTAATTAATTGTTGCAATTTGTTGGTCGTACTAGTGCTATTATCTATTTGAAAATTGTACATACGTAGCAATTCAATCAACGTCTTAGCTCCATAAATACCATCAGGTATGCTAATTTAAATTAACGTTGAAAATATTTCTAGAGATATGATATTATGTTTAGTTGCCAGGTGCAACCATTGATCAATATGAGAAGCCATTTCCGGATGTTCAAGGCTAATTTGGAGGCCGGGTTTTTTGATCCTCAAGCTTAGCTCGGCATAAGTCCGCAAAAAATCATCAAATTTAACAAAATTATCCAAATTATCCGATTAACTCTTGTGGCTTCCATGACCGATTATCACATCGGGTCGCGTTCTCCAAATTGAACTCCATATTTTAGACAAGACACAAGTTCGAGCTTCTTCTTTTAGTCTATATTGACGAATACGATGTAAAATATCATGAACTATATAACTCTGATTTATGTCCTCTTCATCGACTATTTCACCCATAATTTTCTCTAAAGAGAATCAAATACCGAAAAAATAATTTACGTAATAACAAACAAATGATTCAGCATTGGCTATATAGAAGAAACCAATAACGCCTCTATTTATAGCAATACAAAATTACTTTGACAAGACTAATAAACCTATTCCTATAAAATTTTGACTATAAGTTCTAATTTTAAAGAAGAATTTAAGTTTATTCCGTCATAGTCATTTACGAGTTGGAGCTAGTCATAACTTTTCCATATGTTCTCATCCTAAAAAAAAAGGAAAAAAACCTTTTCCATATGTAAAAGCTAACTAGGAAGCTGTTTCCTTCCTTTTTCCGGACGTTAAATTAATTTCGAAATTTCAAAAGGTGGGCCAGCCTGCATTACGAACTCCAAAGCCAAGTCCCCATGAACTGTAGTCAATATTTTGGGAAAATTTCGTTTTTCTTATTGACAAACTTCGTTTACTCTAAGCATTTCAAAATATGTGGATTTAACGTCTTAGATTTGGCTGAGAAACAATTATGTAATTTTTGAGAGTTTGATGCAGATCGAATTAAAGTGATACTTCTGCTATTTAAATCAAATGTCCAAATTTAATTTGCTTAACTAAACAAGTGTGCTCAACATGATTAAGAAAAAACTACTAAATATTATTAAAATAATTAAATGATATTTTTTTAATAAAATTTACTTCTAAAGGGTAAAGCTTAGTTATATATACGAATTACCTTCAATCCCAGAACATAAAAGGTTCAAAAGATTTTCGGAAGTTATAGTTCATACATAAACCCAGTTTTAACTTTAGAAATTAACTTCATGCCCTGAAAAGGGAAGTTGTCAACATTTATGGAAAGTTGTGACCAAAGGTAAGTATTTACCATAATATATAAGATACCTTGCGGTTCTTATAAGCCGGCCGCTAATACCAAGACAGAAATTAAGGTTCAACTAGTGCTCAAAATTATGGTGCAAATAGTTAATAGAGAGGACAGAATATCGGAGTTGCCTGTACACATAGTTTATGACATCTTGTGTCGGATTCGTCGATATGGGTTAAAAGAAGAAGCTCGAACTTGCGTCTTGTCTAAAACATGGAGTTCAATTTGGAGATCACGACCGGATGTAATAATTAACCAATCCATCCACAACAGTTTCATGAAATCCACGGAGAAATTTATCAAATTCGTCGACGATTCCTTGCGCCCCTATGTCGAGCAAAACTCAAGAGTCGAAACACTCCGTCTCCTATGCCTTCATGATCAGGAATTGGCTTCACATATTGATCGATGGTTGAATTTGGTGATTAAACTTAATGTCAGATCTCTAGAAATTTACGCGATGTTTAATTTGAAATATAGCGTGCATGAGGCTATTTGTGCAGCTAAGACGCTGACTGAGTTATCGCTACGCGTGTGCAACTTTCAAATAGATAATAGTACCAGTACCACCAACAAATTGCAAAGATTAATCAGTATATGCATGTTAATCAGGGATCTAAAAATAAGTCGTTGTTGGGGGATCCAAAATTTGCTTATTTTCGGTCTAGTAAATCTGGAGAAATTGGAGCTACGTTCGCGTGAAAGACTCGAAAAGGTGGAAATCCAGGCTCCAAATCTTCGAAAATTTGTATATGTTGGTGTGCCTTTGCACAATTGCCTGAAGGCACGTGAACCAAAATTGCTGCCTTGCACAATTGATATTTTAGATGTGTTTATTCGAAAAATCGGATAGAGTTGAATTTATAAGTAGTTCTAAGGATATGTGATACAACTTGACACAAATCGTACAGAGAAATAGGAATACGTATATTCTTGACTATAAGAACGAAAGATAAAACAGTGAGAAAGAGGAATGAATGGACTAGATAAGATAAAATAAAATGAGGTCAAGGGATTGATCTTTCAATATGAGAAGTAGTCTTTTGTTACAATGTGTCAATTCGCCTGATGTTTACAACAATCATCCTCTTTATAGTAGAGGGATCCTACTTTGGATACAATAAAAAATACATAGTGGGGAACCCATGATGAATTAGCTTTTCCCTAATTCTCGCCAGGATTCTCTCTCCTAGTGCGGTTGCAACGGCTCTTGTCTGTGAGCTCGATACTGACTCGAGCTTGGTATTGGCTCGAGCCCCCGGCCTTGACTCGAGCTCGATTCTGACTCGGAGTCTGGATATTCGGGGTTAGTGTTTGGTCGGTCTATGCATCTTCGATAATTTCTCTTCGCCTCGTAGTTCGATTTGGATATGAGCTCGATAATGATACTGAGCTTGTCATTGATCGATCTTAGCGCTTGAAGCTTGACGTCCTTATTTCGGACCTCGACCTGACATTATGCAGATACCTTTTGATCGAAGTATTATCATCTCGATTAGTCCGTACGACGGACTAATCGGTTTTGACCGTATACAGATAGTCCTCTCGTTTCTCGAGAAGGATGTAACGGGAAACGATATGATTTTCCAATGGTACGATTAGATATACACTGACGTTTGCATCGAGTTCGATCGTGACATACGTGATAGTTGTCCCCGAAGTATTTAATGTGTGTCAGACGATGGTCGGCCATTACCGATATTGAACCGCCGCCGCTTAGCCTATAAATATCCCTTTTTCCTACCATTAATCACTTTTGCATCCACTGATCTCAAAATTTCATTTTTCCATACCTTCTGAATTCGTTTGAGTGTGAAATTTTTCTTCTGTGTTTTTTACTACAAGAATCTTTCTTTGAAACACCATATCTTCTTTATTTTTTTCTTCTAAATTCAAAAACATTGGTGAAAACATCAAAAACCATTCCTCAAAAAGAAGAGGCCTCTTTTTCACAACCCGCCGCCGATAAAACACTGGTGGAGCCACGACTAGAGGAGTGTGTTCCCAGAACATGTCTTCTCACCTCCGATTTCAAGCTCGACAAAGGCACGTTGGTTTCCGGTCGGTGTGAACTGGTATCGAGATATTTATGCTCGATAACCAAAAAGCAACTTGCACAGTTGAAAAGAGATTGCAACTGGGACAATAAGGAATTGGTGATTCCGGCTTCCGACGAAGATATTACCACCCACGTGGAAGGGTTCTTAAGTGTGTATACCTACCCGTTTATGTTAGGACCTTTCGACCCTGTTATCATCGACTTTTGTCATCAAAAGGAAAGTACCTCATCTAATTTGAAACAGAGGGAGTATTAATTATCTAAATTTTCAACCTTTGAAGTTTTAGAATTCTAGAGATGTTACATATAAAGTTGTGAGTGAAAAACTTAAGAGTTTTACCATATGAAATTGGAGGAATCTGGAGTAAGTTAATGTAACGATCCGGTCGGTCGTTTTGAGTATTACAATCGTATTTTTTCATTTACTGCTCAAATTGTAATTTACGATTATTATTTGACTTGCTGGGATAATTGGTTCGGATCCGGTGAGGTTTTGGAATGATTTGGAACACTTAGTTCCAAGGTTTAGAATTTAAGTTAAAAGGTTGATCGGATATTGACTTATGTGTAATGACCCCGGAGAATTTTTTCTATGGAAAATTTGTGGTAGCAAAATGCATTTCTGCGGTCCATTATGCAACCGCATAATCACTCTGCGGACCGCACAATGGCCGCAGAGTGAAGCAGTTGCGAGGCAAGATTTGAGGAAAATATGCGGTGCATTATGCGACCGGAGACCCGTTCTGCTGTGCATTATGCGATCGTAGAACAGGTTTGCGGGCCACATAATGACCGCAGACCGGGTCAGTCACGCCAAGTTTTGGAGGCCAAATTCTGCGGCCGATATGCCGACCGCATACGTGTTATGCGATCGCATAACTGTATTGGGGCTTCCATTCTTTCTAATTTTTGACCCGACCCAACTTTGATTTATAGCCTTTGAAGCTCATTTTTTATTCAAAATCTGACATTTTTAGAGAGAAGGGAGAGTGTTCTAGAGAGAGAAGAAGCTCAAATGATTTGTTCATCAAGATCTTGTTCAAGCTTTGAAATCCAACAAGGAAAATCACAAGATCTTCACCCAAGAGGTAAGGTTCTAACCCCTAGTCTTCGATTTCGAGTTTGGGTAAAGATGGATAATTAAGAGTATAATTCTTGGGTGTTAGAGTATTATTTATACATACACATACCAATAAGGTTTATGAAAAGATTATTGAGTTCAAATGGGTAAAGATTAGGTTGAAAATGGTAGAAATCTTCAAAGATTTTAATTGAAGATTTGAGTGTCTAGTTGATATAGGGATTTGGTGAAATTTATATGGTTGGACTCATGCTTGGATGGAAGTTCATAGTTTGTAACTTTTGTCGGGTTCCGAGACGTGGGCCCCACAGGCGATTTTTGAGTGAATTTCAGATTTTTATTGGAAAATTAGTATTTTCTTGTGGAATTAATTACAATAATTGGTATTGACTGAATCGAATTATTTGTGGCTAGATACGAGACTTTCGGAGACCAATTCTCGTTGCAAGGGCATAGAGGAATAAAGAATTACACGGTTTGAGGTAAGTAACAGTTTTAAATTTGGTCCCGAGGGTATGAAACCCCGGATTATGTGTTATGTGATTTGTTTTGAGGTGACGGGCGTGTGGGCGTGCACCGTAGGAATTGTGACTTGGTCAAATTCCATGAAACTGTATAGTTGAATAATCTGTTGATATCCGTACATTCTCTACATGTTAGAGAAAATGCAACTGAGACTCATATTAAAAATCATGCTTAGGCATATGCTGTTATTGTTGGTACCCATTGGGGTCATTTCTGTGGTTGAATTGTATGTTCAAATTGTAATTTCACACTCAGTCATGTTTATTCATTTCATATCATATCAGTTTCTATTGCTATTTATTGATGCATCATATTATCATTTTGGGCTGATTTTCATGACATCTTGAGCCCGGGACACTCGAGAGGTTGATGACTGAGTGAGGCCGAGGGACTAATTGTGAGGATATGTATGGATCGGGCTGCACGCCGCAATGTATTTTTATTGATTTATGCCATGATTTTCTTGATATAGCGCTTGGGCTGAAGGAGCCCCTCCAGAGTCTGTATACACCTCCAGTGAGCGCAGGTACCTACTTAGTGCGAGTGCCGAATGCGAGTGCCGAGTGGCGAGTGATGAGTGACTGTTAGAAAAGAGTGACTGTGAGATTGGAGTGAATGAGAGGACTGAGTGACTGTTACTCTGAGAGGATGCATTGATTTAATTATTTGCTGCATTTCAGCTATCATATATCACTATTTTGGAAATTTCGAAAAAAAACATTATTTTCTGTTTCGGTCAAACTTGATATGAAATTGCAGTGAAATCTTAAATGTTGAACTTGAGAGCATGCCTACTCTTTTATATTGGAAAGTACTGTATTTGGACTTAGTTGAGAAGCTCGTCACTACTTTCAGTTCTTTATTTGTTATTGTTCCTTACTGAGTTGGTTGTACTCATACTACACCCTGCACTTTGTGTGCAGATCTAGGTGATCCCGGATACAGTGGGTGTTGATTCTTTCACACAGTCAATTTTTCGGAGATTCAGAGGTAGCTGCCATGTTTCGCAGACCTTGTCTCTCCTTCCTTATCTTTTGTTTATTGTATTTGGTCTTAGATTATTATAGACCGTGTTTTCCAGACTTGTAATGTATAAATGCTCATGTACTCAGTGACATCAGATTTTAGGAGTGTTTGTTTTGGTATTTCCGAGAGTTGTGGATTGTGATTAAATATTATATTTTTGAACTTAAAAGAAATTGTGGATTTTTTTTATGTTGTAGGCCTGCCTAGTATCGAGATAGGCGCTATCATAACGGGTGAGATTTTGGGTCGTGACAGTTGATATCTCGAATCTGGAGCACCTATCTCCAATGCATATCAAAGTTGACATCATAAAGGTGTGAAAATCTATGCAAACTCCTAGCTCGCACGTGAGGGAGGGCAAAATTATCCCACCATCAAATCTACCATCGGCCTATGAATTTTCCATTGTATTCGTCAACAACAATGCCCATTCACACACACACTTTTTCTCAGGAGTGGGCATAGTTTGGGCAAATTCGAAATCCAAACCGAAATTCGAATTTCTTGAATTTTTGTATTACAGAATGGATTTTGGATTTAATTTTTAGAATTTTTGGATTTTAGATTTAATTTTTAAATTTTTTGGATTTTGGATTGGTTATTGGCTTTGGTTTTTCTGATATTTGGATATCCGAAAATTCGAAAGTTTTATATTTTATATTTACTCCATTATCCATCTGCCAATAGTAATAAGTTCAATATCCAACCCATTAGATATTATCTCATATATTCAATATTAATTACTAAGTTAATGTCAGAATACTTTCTATTTGGATATAATTTTACTATTGCAACTTCTTATTGGTCGTATTAATCACCCCACCGCCAATTCTACTATCTCCCTATGAATTTCTCCATTTCCTTCTATCACGATGCAAAATTCTAATCTGTCCTGATGGCGACTATCTCGATACTAGGCAAGCCGACGACCTCAATAAACCATAATTTCTTTTAATTTTGAAAATATAATATTTAAACACAATCCATAAATCTGGCAAATACCAATACAAACACTCCCAAAACTTGGTGTCACTGAGTACATGAGCATCTATACATTACGAGTCCGAAAAATACGGTCTATAATAATCTGAGACCAAATACAATAAACAAAAAGATAAGGAAGGAGAGACAAGGTCTGCGAAACATGGCAGCTACCTCTGAA